GGCATACACTGAGCATGATGTCTGTTCCTGCAACGGGCGCTGCAAGAAGGGGGAGGGAGCATGGAGTTTTCGTTTGCAGGATTGATTTTTTTTTCTCTTTATGGCAACTTGGGCTTTATTACTCTGTTAACGAAAACGAACTGCAAAGTGGCCAATAAGGAGCTGGCCAATTTGTCAGACCGGAAAGGAAGCGTCTTTGCTACTGCAGACAGAAAAAGAAAAAAAGGCAAAAAGCTGCGATTCCTCATTTTCAGCATTTGTGAACTCATTTCTAAACATACCTTAAAACCCGAATATTAACGAGTTTTGCGTCCAGCCCTAAAAGCCTCGAGTGTTACTATCGCTCGTGAAACTGCTAAAACTCTTGGCTAGTAGTAAAGTGTTTTATTTTTCTCAACAGAGCAATCAAAGAGGAGCTCAAGCGCCATGCATTACTTAGCAGTACACGAGGGTATAGCATCAATATAGTTACAGTAATGCTGCAAAAAAACACATTTCCAAATGGTTCCAATACCCCAGCTTGCCGGTAATTAGTCCCTCTTCAAGGATACAAGGTCCACTTAAGTATGCAAAAAAGACCGGCTTTCGATGAGCAGCATGGAAGGCTGAAAGTGATGGATTGCGTTCTCGTTGGATTAAATTTTACCCAAGGCAATGAAACCCCACGTGCACTCCTGTTAACTCTGCACTTGACGGAGGATGAGAACATCACAGGGTTATTCTATTCCATTGTACATGCCAAATAATAGACTGCAGCACATTTACACACTCCAACGCTACGAGCAGTACTTGACTACGTGGCCATTTACGACATGTCCTCGAGCTCACAAGCACACTCGATTTCGCTGTCGTACCGACTCCCATTCCTCCGTTTAGGACCTGTACAAGTCTCTGTCCATAGCTGCACGGTTACAGGGCACTTGTCAACGGGACATGCTCTCGCTGCGAGGGTCCAGAGGTATTTTCTCATGGCATCTACCGGCCCAGTAGTTGAAGGAGAAGGCAAAGGAGGAGGGAAAACAGAAGGAAGGAAGAAAAGAAGGAAAGTGGAATAAAAAGAAGGAGGGGGAGGCTTTGCAGTTGAAGAGCATCCCGACCATGAGGCGCAGCTGCACAGTGGCTGCCCTGCTCCTGCAGCTTTGGTGACTCAACACGAACAGAAACATTGGCGCATGGCGAACCTCACTCATGTGACTCAAAAAAGAACTTTGAACCGACCACATTTGTGACTCATGATTCCGCTAGGTATTGTCATCAAGACAATAAATGAATAGGAACTCTTTACCTCAAGGTCGGTGCTCAAAAGCGTCAACAAGGAATGACTAAGATGACGAACTTTGTGAAATAACAGTTCTTGGGAATCTGAAATTCTTTGAGTGAACGAAGGCCAAAGAAACAGAAATTGGGTAGGGAAGCAGTGACAGAAAGTCGATCTGCAGCTGATCTCTTCGAGGTCTGACTGGGTTTAAATGACATCCGCAAGCTTGGGAAAGAACAAGAAGCAGTCTGATGCGAAATAAGGAAGTTTTAGCATTGAAATGAGAGCCGCAGATGTGTATACGAAGAAGTGATGGGCTGGCTATTCACTTTCATGTTTACGCGCTCAATCTCTCCCTGCATTTCACGTTTTGCCGCCGCCTCCATCACGGCCGCTGGTCTCATGTGTTGATCAGAAATCAGCGTAAAACCTCAAACTGAAAAACATCACAAAACGAGCTGTTTGGCAGTCAGAGAACATGTGTGGAAACCCTAGTTACTTCCAACATCAGCATTATTGTTATCACGTCATGGTTTTTACTTTCCAACCAGCAGATCGAATCACAGCCAGGATAGCAGAACTCAGCATAACCTCGAGGGTAGTTAGAAGATAAAGATTTGACCACTATTCAAATCCTTTCTGAGGTGCGGCCGGCATTCTATACACCGTCTCCCGCAGGGTGGGTGTGGCCGCTACTCCCACCGGCCGTGGCGTAGTCATTTTCGTGGGTGATTACCTTTTGAGACAACTAGCAATGGCATAGCTGCCACTCTCCGAAAACACAAATACTTACTAATACTCAGTCACCGCTCCGCTCAGTGGAAGTACGCGACCACACCTTCCAGATGTTCGCTATAACCCCACAGGGTGGGAGCTATACTTCCACTCGGAATCATAGTGAACTTCGAATACGATATGGCCTATAGAATAAACTGCAGTGGTCAGCTGGGGCACAAGTCAGTGTTCTCGACCCCAGACGAACCTGGTACCAATTCACGGTCCCGCGAGGGCTGAGGGTCCGGTTTGCCTGGGTGGAAGCCATTTCAGT